AGTTAGGGAGCCTGTTGAGGTACTGAAAGTGTTCTGCATCTTGAGCTGAGGGGCAGATAAATCCAGAGTGCATTCACATGTAGAATTCATCAAGCTGGATGTTACTTAAGGTTGGTACGTTTACTTAATAATGTCACCATAATGGAAGAAGCAAAAGAACAAATTGACAGCAGCCTCCTTGGCCAAAGCAGTAAGGATTGGTGTGGAGAGGGGCTGTTCTCATGGCCTGGAGAATCTAGATGATTCCCTCCATTTCCGTGAAGTCACCCTCCCTACAGAGTCTCATCCACACCTCTGTGCCTGCCTAATGTGGGGTACTTGTGGGATCCTCTCAGAACCCTTCATGAAGATTTTTTTTTTAAAGCATGCACATGTATGTGCATGCCTGTGGAGGCCAGAGGACAAGTTCAGTGTCATTCTTAGGAGCGTCATCCACCACTTTTGTGTCAGGGGCTCTCATTGGCTTAGAGCTCATTAATTAGACTCACTGGGCAGCTGGCCCCAGTGAGCCTCTTATTTCTGCACACACACCCCCCACCGCCCTGCTTTGGGATTACAATCATGTGCCACCACACCTGCTTATGCTTGTGAGGCAAGCTTTTTACCAACTGATCTATATCCTCAGCCCTGCATGAAGATTTTTTAAAGTGAAAATATTAGGTACAGGACAATATCAGGTCCTCATTTACTTAGCTAAAACAGAGCCTCCTAAAAACAGGGTGAACACAGTTTCCTGCCAGTCTGGCTGTGTTGGAGACAGACTGTTTATCCTATTAGCATCAAAAAACCCAGTAGACACATCTATACTTTCCCAGAGTCCCACCCCCTTTGTTAAATTTTATGTACAAATATTTCTTTCTGGTTGTCTAGTGAGTTCTTTATAATAAAAAAGTGCATTTGTAAATAAAGTTAGTCTTTTCTCAGTTAAATTTGCAAGCCTCAACTCCTAGACTCAAATTGGGAAAATAAAAAGGTTTTCTGCCCAAGAAACCCACAACAGGGCTAGAGAGATGGCTCAGTGGTTAGGAGCACTGGCTGCTCTGGGCAGAGGACCCAGGTTGGGTTTCCAGCACCCACACAGTGGCTAACAACTGTCTGTAACTCCAGTTCCAGGGGATCCGACACTCTTCTGGTCTCTGGGCATTCCAGGCACATGGTGCACTTACATGCATGGAGGGGAAACACTCATATAATATAAACAAATTTTAAAAAGAAAGAAAGGAAGAAAGAAATCCAGAACAGCATGGCTATGGCCTGTAGTGCTAGGATTCAGCTCAGGGTCTAGCACATCCACGACTTTGTATTACAAGGGCATTTTACAAGTCAAGTCTTAGCAGACCAGGACTCTGGGCTGTACTGAAGACTCTCATCCCAAGTCAGAGTCACCCTTACACTATGCCCTGGTTTCACAGAGGATGGACAGTAGGGGTGCCAGACCTAACCTGTGCTGATGACAATGCCAGGATCCTTGCTATGTGCAGACTGAAAAGTTTGCAGTCCTTCTTGACTCCACTCTGAAGGCTCACATCAGTCAAAAAGGATCGATTCTGACTCTACTTTTAAAATACAGCAGGAATCAGAGCACTTTCCCAGCCTCCATCTCCTTCATTATCCCATCTGACTGGGGTCATAGCCACCTCATGTCTCACACTGGGACAAAAGCCACTTAATTCCTAGTCTCTAGCAGTTGTCAGGGGCCCTACTGCCTGGCCTTCTAAAACCTGAGTTAGGGTCAATTCCTCTGCTCAGAGGTCTCCAGGCACACCTCTGACCTCAGTTGTTTCATCAAATCACAGAATGCCATTGTGTTGGGTAAAGTTCTTGGCCAGGATAATAGATCAAATGGAGTCACTTTTGCTTTACCTACTTGTTATCTGACCTAAGAAACTGTCAAATTTCCCAATCAGGCCAGCTTCTGTTGACATGATAATAACATTCCTTCTGGGGGCTGGAGAGATGATTCAGTGGTTAAGAGCACACTGGCTGCTCTTGAAGAGGACCCAGGTTTGATTCCCAGCACGAACATGGTGGCTAACAACTGTTGATAACACCACTTCCAGGGGATCGGACACCCAATCTGACCTCCATGGGCATTGCATGACTCGGGTACACTTACAGAACATGAGGGCAATGCACTCATATACATAAAATAAAAAAAATAAAGCATTTAAAAAATAAACTAAAATAAAATTCCTTCTGCTTTAATCCTTACCTAAAAAGTAATGTGATATTAACCAAGCAGTAATTCATTGTTTCCCTGTTCCCATCTTACAAGGAAAGCAACTTTGACGTGACCTTGCCACTATTTTGCAGGCCAAGGATTCTGTAGTGAACCCTACCCCAGCCCCTGCTCTTTTTTGTTCTTTTCTGTTCCTGCTTTCTTCTCTATGAACCCAACCTCTTCAACTCAGCTCACTGGAAGGAACACTCATTCTGTTTTATGGAATGAGACCCGGCTCTAAAAACACAATTAAAGCCACCTAAACATTTTAAACACCATTAGACAAGCTCAGCTCTCGCTCCGCATAGGCAAGACTTGTTTGCAACAAGCACATGCGTACTATGTGCCTGACGTTGTTTGATCCAGGTCCTTGGCAGTCAAGGAGCTACTCTTCCTGAAGAGATGGCCACCAGCCAACACAGTAGCTACATGAATATGTAATGAGCACTAATGGAGATAGAAAGACTAGGAAGAGGAATTGTGAGCGCTAGTGTGTGTGGGGTTGGGGAGTACGAAATAGCGAGGAAGAAGGATTTAGAAGCACAAGACAAGAACAGGTTCAGTGAGCACCAAACAGTTACTGAGGCCGGAGTCATAGGAGGGTAAGAGATAGGAGTGGAGCCGGCAGCATGGTGGGGAGAGGTAATAAAGGATTTGTTTCATGGGCTTCTTTTATTCTGTCAAACCAGAAGTTACAATGGAGGGAAAAAATGGCCCAAGAACTCATAAGTTTGTGACAGCCCTCAGACCCAGCAGCCACCAGCCCAAGCTTAGCAATGCCCCTGAATACAGAGGATGGCCCAGATAAAGCTCAGCAAACTCAGAGAAGTGTTCATAGACTTCATTCTCAGTGTTTCTTGGTTTCTGGTGCATAAGGGGCCAGAGCTGTTGACCACTTTAGAGGGAAAGGGAAAAAGGAAGTGGGATGGGGAGTCCCTGGCTGAGGTGGAAAAGGCAGTTGAATGCCTATCAGTAGATTAAGCCTAGGGGTGGAGACCCACCTGCTCCTGGAATGAGGAAGCCCTGGCCCATTTGGGGTGTAAGAGGAGAAGGGAGGGAGAGTTCCCAGAGGGGCTGAGCTCCTGCTGCCATTGCCCTCCAGCCTTTTGCAGGGTGAGTTTTGTACTGGGCCTTGGCTACTTGATAGGGTCTCCCAAAATCCAGCACACTGCAGTGACCCACCTCCTCTCCCATCTGAAACCTCCAGGGGAGTCCATTCACCTGTTTAAAGAGTGAAGAGCTGGGCTTCAGTGGGGGAAAGGGGTGCAGCTTGGCCTACAGGTAATTGTACCCTTGGAACTCCAAGTGGTAGGCTGTCCCTCTATAGGCTGTACCAGCTTCTTCTGAAGATCATGCTGACATATCCCAGGATGACAACTCCTCCCCCAGGCAGCACAGCTCAGTATGGAGTACTATTCTAGAAGACAGTGTCTCACAACCAGCACAGAATTGCAGACTGTAGGGTCAAGAAGACCTTAGAGCTCTTCTCGACTGAGGCCCAGAGAAGTCAAATAATTTGTCCAATAGCTCCTGGGCCACCATTAAAGACAGAGCTAGAAGCCGAACCTGGACATTTTGATCTATGCTTAATTTTTTTTCTAGCCCTAGGTTTTATGATTCTATGATACTCATCCAATGTGTCCTCTCCCCCAGAGCTGCTTCATCCAGAAGCTCTTACCTAAAATTCCTAAGGAACCTTTTCTAACCACTAGTTGTGACCATAAAAGCTCATTTCCTTGGTCCTTGAGGGATAAGATTCTTCTGGACGGAAGAGCTGGAAATACAGTTAATAGTGCAATCTCTCATAAGCTACTCCCCTAACTCTCCCTAAGTCATCCTCTTCACATTGGCCCTCCCTCCTATGTGCTGGGACTCCAGGAGCCTGCTACCCTGGTACCATCCTGGTACCTGAAACCTGACTGGGGACACGATCCTGGCTTTGAGTGGCTGCAGAATCACAGATTATTGAAGGAAGGAAACTATCAGAGATTAGAGTCCTGACCCACATTGGGAACTATCCCCTTGAGACCTCAGGGAACAGTCATTGCTTGAAGCTGAGGGCTCCTACTTATTTCAAGAGCACCTAGGATGTATGTATGTTTGTTTGTTTGTTTGTTTTGGTCTTTTTGAGAGAAGGTCTCCCTGTAGCCCCAGCTGGCCTGAAACTTACTATGTAGATCAGGCTGGCCTTGAACTCACAGAGATCTGCCTGCCTCTGCCTCCTGAGTGCTGGGCTTAAAGCATGTGTCACCATGCCCAGCAAGGATGTGTATATTTTTAATGAGCACCAACAATGTGTAGGAGATGCTCTGTAAGAAGTTTAGTGTCTTGTGTTCCTTCCAATACAGCAGTAGGCACATTTTACAAATTAAGAAGTTGAGTTTCAGAAAGAGTCCAGATCCCTAGAACTAATAAGGTCTAGGATCAACAATGAAACTCCTGTCTGTCCATGAAACTTAGTCCACAAATATGGTCAAGGGAGGTAAGTACCATCTTCTATGGCCTGCCTGACTGCAAGGTAGCCTACCAGCATGGAAATGATTCTATATCTTCAAATCAACCTTTGAGAGGTGAGGTCACTGGGCAAGGAGAGTGGGAAGGTGAGCCTGCTGTCAGCCCTCACTGCACATTTGTGTTCACCTGGCTGCATCCTGGAACCAACCCAGTCATGCTTGGGCAGGCGGCTGCCCCTCCTCCTTGGGTTGAGGAAGCAGGAAAAGGCAGTGGGGAGAAGTAGCTGGTAGGCTTGGCAGGTGGTGGTGGCCAGTGCCCAGCTAAGATGAGTTCTGTCTGGGATCTGGCTCTGGCCCTACTTTTTTTCTGCTGGGAGGCTGGGGTCTCTGTGAATTCTACAGGTAAGGGGGCAAGATGGGCCTTGGGGCTTCTTCCTGGCAAGGCTCTGGGTCTGTTTTGACAAATGTAAGTCTTTGTGGGAAAGGTTAGTTCTTTCGTTAACTGTAGTTAAGAGTGTGTCATATGTAAAGTACAGTGACTGTTGATGAGCATGCAGATGGAAGCTGTGTCAGCTTAAGTACAGTGACACTGTAAGGGGCTCTGGGAGTTTGTCTTTAGGTGAGTGACAATGTAAGCTGGGTGGGGAGGACCAGCTGGTAGATAATTTCACCTAAAGCAGAAGAATATGGTTTAATCAGGCTCTGTTTCCTTTGAGTTTGTTACCTAGCACAGATTTTCTTCAAAATATGACTTTTGGATGAAAAGTTTGTCACAAACTACTCAGCCAGGGAGATTCTGAGAAAAGGAAGCTTTTCTAAAAAAGGGAGCTAACAACCTGATTCGTCACTAACAAACACTGTGCCAAACTCATCACAAACACTTAAAAACTATTACAAGTTGAATTCTAGGTTCATAGAAATCAAGCAGAGTATATAGAGAGTTCCTTTGCTACAGTGATGACCCCACTCCAGACATCACCTTCTTATGTAGCTATTTCCATGTTCTCTGTATGTGGTGTGCATGTATATATGTGTGGTCTTACATGTATGTGGGTACGTGTGCACCTGTGTGCATGTACATGTGGAGACTCAAGGTTAATGTCAAGAATCACCCTCAATGGTTTTTCTACTTCATTCATTGAGGTAGAGTCTCTAAGTCAAACTCAAACTTGCCAGTATGGCTGGTCTTGTTAGGAGCTTATTCTGGGGATCTTGTCTCTGCCTTCTGAGCCTGGAATTACCGACCAGCCGCCACACCCACTGGCATTTACATGGGTTTCTGGAGATCCAACTCCAGCACTTGCATAGCACTTGACTCAAAGGGTCAGGTCACTGAGCCATTTCCCCAGCCCTATCATTAGTATTTATATTTATTTATTTAGTGTGTATGTGCACACACACCTGTGTGGGCTCCAGTCTGCCATGGTGCATATGTGGAGGTCAGAGGAGATCTTATGGGAATTCGTTTGCTTCTTTTGCTATGTAGGTTCCAGGATTGAACTCAGGTCACCAGATTTAGTGGCAAGTACCTTTACCCACTGAGCCATCTTACCAGCCCATTTAAATATTCACAATAGCCCTAAGGAATGGGTACTCACCTCCCAGCCACTGCCACCTCTCTAAGGGCAAGGAGACTGCAACTTATGGAGACTGAGTAATTTATCCCCAGAACCAGTGCTGGCCACACTGACTGACTGACGCAGATCAACAGTCAGCTGGGAACCTGGGACTGGCTGGTCTCAAGTGGGGTCAGGACTTCAGAGGGCACCAGTCAGAGCAGTCCAGCTCCATAGCAATGCAGCTTACCCATGCTGCCTACTTCTTCTTTGTTTACATAGTTGTGAAGCTGGCTCGCAGTGACCTCTCCTTTCTCTCTAGTAGTGCCAAGGCATAAAAGTAAGAGCCCATGTGCTCAGTTCACTGGGACTCACCAAGTTGTTCTTATGCAACACAGGCCTCAGCACCAGCAGATCGATTCCTTTGGTGACAACAAACAACACGGAAGTAACTGCCTTGACTCAAAGGGTCAGGCTGAGCTCAGAGGGAACCTTCCAGACCATGGACCCTGCTGGGTATTCAGCATTAAGACATGATCCTCTGGAAACTCAAACCCTGAACCCCAAGGCCACTTCTAAGACCTTAATCCTAACTAGCACCATTTCAGAAGTAGATTCCAGGGACACCTGGACCACTTCTCCTGTAACAGAGACCAAGAAGACCCAGACCACTTGCCCTTCAGCATCGACCCTGGAGACCCAGACCACTTTCCTGGCAGCAGTAACCATGGAGCCACAGAGCACTTTGGCTGCAATAGAGACTGAAAAGACCCAGATTACTTTTCCTGCAACGGAGACCACTTCTCCTGCAGCATCAACCCTGGACCCCCAGACCACTTCCTCTTCAGCATCAATCTTGAAACTCCAGACCACTTCACCTGCAGCATCAACCCTGGAAACACAGACTACATCCCTTGAAGCATCAACCATGGAGATCCAGACCACTTCCCCTGAAGCACTGACCGTGGATACTCGAACCACTTTCTCTGCAGCATCAACCCCGGGTACCCAGACTACTCCCTCTGCAACATCAACCCTGGAGACACAGACCATTTCCCCTGAAGCATTGACCATAGAGATCCAGATCACTTCCCCTGAAGCATCCACCATGGATAATCAAACCCCTTTCTCTGCAGCATCAATCCAGAAGTTTCAGACCTCTTCCCTTGCATCATCAACCATGGAGCTCCAGACCACTTTACCTGAAGCATCAAGCCTGAAGACACACACTACTTCCCCTAAAGCATCAACCATGGATACTCAGACCTCTTTCTCTGCAGCATCAATCCTGGAGACACATACCACTTCCCCTGAAGCGTCAACCATGGAGACACAGACCACTTGCCCTTCAGCATTGACCGTGGAGATCCAGACCACTTCCCCGGTAGCATCCACCATGGATACTCGAACCCCTTTCTCTGTAGTATCAACCCTAGATACCCAGATTACTTCCTCTGCAATATCAACCCTGGAGAGTCAGACCACTTTCTCTCTAGCTTCAGCCCTGAAGCTCCAGAGCACTTCTGCAACAAAGACCAGAACCCTCCCGAAGACAATACCTTCTAATTTAGAGGTTCTGCACACCACCCCTATGGAGACTTATGCAACAAGTGGCAGCCTTGGGCGAACTGGAGTAACCACAGTTGAGACTGATGTAGTCAGTGTTCCCACAGAAGCTATCTTTGATACTCTTTGTACTGATGACAGCTCTGAAGAGGCCAGAAAGATCACAACTGACCTCTTGACATTGGCACACACCTCCACAGAAGCTAAGAGCCTGTCCTCAGAGAGCAGCTCCTCTTCTGACAGCTCAGTAGATGTCCTCACCAGCTCACAGGCCCAGGAACCTGACATTGCAACCCTGGCTAAGGACTTGGTTACCTTCAGCATCACCCATATTGAACTTTCCAGCTGCATCACAGAAATAAGAACATCTGACATAATCTCTGGGACCTCAGACACAGACCATAGCCCTACAGGAGTAGCCTTGTCCACCTCTGAGACATCAGCTTTGTTCAACTCCATCGAGGGAGAATCAAACGTCCCCAAGACCACAACTTCAACTGAGACCTTATCAACAACAAGCACCTCCAAGTCAGTCATCCTTGACACCACCCTGGAAACCAAACTCCCTACTAGTAGCAACAAAGAAAGAGAAACAACAGTACCTAAGACCCCAATCCCCACTGAAAGTTTGGTGACAATTAGCAGAAACCCAGCCTTCTCTATTGAGACACAAAGTCACACTGAGGTCTTAGGGACAATTACAATCCCCACAGCTGCTGGGTCAACAGTGGGTGAAGTCACTTCCTTCACTGCTTCCTCAGTTTCAGTCAACAGCTCCTCAGCAGTAGCGGCCACCAAGAACTTTATCCCCTCAGAAATTTTTACCATAGGTAATAAAACCAACAGCTCCTTCCCTGTAGGTAGCAGCCTTTCTCCTTTTGTCTATTTGACTACAGCTAGCACCAGAAAAAAAACAAACACCAGAGCCTCACCAAAGACCCCAATGAGCCCCCCAACATCTACACCCACCATTGCTTGGACAAAGAAGACCACAAAAGCTACTGCAAGTAAGTGACACCTTCATGTGTGTCCTTTGGGGCCTCCATGTGTGACCTTTGGGGACTTGGGGTTTGGAGTCTCCAGGATGTTTGCATCCTTAAGGAGCTGAGAAGAAGGTGGGAGCTAAGACCTATGTTGAGTCCTCTCACTGATGATTCATGATCTGTGACTCTTGGTCAAATTGGTAATAAGAAGTTAGGTTGTATATGGAAAGTCTTGAAATTGGAAGTTTCAAGAAGTAGTTGAGATCTTGGACCCCTCCCTCTCCCTCTCCCTCTCAGTTTCCTTATGTGTAGCTGAAGGGAAATTACAACTGGAAATTTTCCAGCACTAACCTCTAAGAAGTTAACTGTTGAGCAACTACTGCACATCAGGTGAGTTTTGAAATGTTATTAGAAAGATATGACTCTCAAGCCTGGGAAGCTCTAGTCCAACCAAGCCCACACAGAAGGATGAAATATAGGCACCCGATCCAAACTGCTGCCATTTGGGATATGGGGCCCTATGAAAGTGGGGCTTGGTGGACATATTTTCTGGGTTATATAACATAGAGAGAAACTTTAAACAAACAAAACAACATTTGGGGAGTTTGAAGGTTCGTCTTTGGAAATAACTGAATCTTCTCAGAGATAGCTAATGTCAGAAACTGCTTGGTAAAGGCAACCCCTGAACAGTCCAAAGTGTCTACACCACCTCTTGGTATTCTGTCCTTGTGGTTCATTCCTGAGTACCTTGACCTTGTCCCACCTTTTTGATCAAGGGAAATAAAAATATCAATCATGAGTTGGGGATAAAGCTCAGTGACAGAGCATGTGACACTTGTCTAGTGTGCTTGAGACCCTAGATTTGATCCCTAGCACTGAAAAAAAAAATCCCTCCATCTTTATCATCTTTATCTACCTATATCTCTGTCTCTGTCTCCATGATCTCTGATGTAACATCTGTAATCTCTATCTCTATAATCTCTATCATTCTATCTCTATCTCTGTCATCTCATCTCTGTCTCTATCTAACATCTATCTTTAGGCATGCTATCAAAGGCCTATAATTCAGTACTTGGGAGGCAGAAAAAGGAGGTTTGTAACTTTGAGGCCAGCTCTAGCTATATAATAAGACCTTGTCAAACAAAAACAAAAACAAGGGGGTAGAGAGATGGCTCTATGGTTAAGAGCACTGATTTTTGTAGAGGACCCAGCTTTGGCTCCCAGCACTCACATGACAGCTAATAATGATCCATAACACCAGTTACAGGATATTTGATTCCTCTTCTGGCCTCTGTAGGCAATGCATGCATGGGTGCATTTACATACATGCAAGCAAAATATATAAAATAAAAATAAATTTAAATATCACACATAAAATAAAAATAAATTCAAAAACACAAGCAAAAACAAACTAAAAGAAAATAAAGAAAAAATAGTTAACTATAACTGCTTTCTTCAATATCTTTTTTATTCTAGGAAGAAATACTAAAAAAAATATTTCACAGTCAGTAGGCAGAACCCAAAGGAGGAGGGTGAATGAGTCTACTTTACACAAGAACGAACCCCAGACGACGTCATGAGCTCAGTGTTTAAAAGGTGCAAGAGAAACCTCTGCCCCAAATGGGCAGACACATCAGCCAGATTATTTCCAGGATTCTCCAGGGCAGTTTACCTGGGGGGCTGGAGTTGAAACCGGCTCAGGATCCAACCTATCTCCAGGATCCATTCTCAGAGCATCTATTCTTCTTGGTTCCAGTGATTACTCGGCCCAGGCAGTGTTACCACAGAAAACTGCCCTTTTTCCTTTCATAGGTTCATATCCATAGTTAGACTCAAAACTTTCCTTAGTGGAATTTTCCCTTGGGGGCTGTGGGCGTGCTTCACATTTTGAGAACTGAAAGTGAATTCACACACACGAACTGGTGACCAGATTCTGGGTACAAGTCTTTCAGCAATTCTCACTCCTACAGAGCACTCTGTTAACAAAATGAGTCTATGTTACATAGAGAGTGGACCCTAGATGGCTTAACTTCAGAAAGAGGAAAGACCCCAGAGTGGAAGGGGAGTAATTTTTTAAGTTTTAATTTTTTACCATTGTTATTATTCTCTTCTTCCTGCTTTACATGGGTTCCAGGGATCCAACTCAGATCACCAGGCTTGCATGGCAGCCCCTTTACCTACTGAACTAGCTACCTCACAGACTCGGAAGGGAGCTCTGAGCACACATCTCAAGACTTAATCTTCTTAAATGACAAACCCGTGAACTCACAGATCATCAATTTCCTTGATCTAACCATCGGGCACAAAAGCAGTTAGTGTGGGGTTAAGAAATCTAGGGGAAAGTTCTCTGGGGGCAATAAATGGCTTTGTAGGCTGCTGGGGACTAACCCAGAGAATCTGGGACCCAGGGCTGTTCTAAGACTCTTTCTCAAGAGACAAATGCCTATTTTTATTCAACCCAGGTAGAGAGGGTACTGAAAGACTCTATCCAGTCCCACTTCATAAAGCAGTGAGCTTATTGATGCTACCTGCAGGAATGTGGGTGACCCAGAGGCAGCCACACCACTGAGACATCCCACCTTGGGGAGAAGAGGGCCTCATGAAGAACTGAGAGTTCTGTGAGCCTCCCTACTCCCCCATGAGTGAAGACTAACAGGACTGATCTTGTGAGGACCTTGTGCAAGTGATCACAGCTACTCTGCTCAAGACCTCAATGGTCATGTCTAACCCACAGGAAACAGATACTAGCTATGAGCAAAGAGCCTCCTCGATAGCTTATCAAAGTTTATTAGAGACCAAGTTTTCTTATACCACTCCAAAGAGCCAGTGACATAAGGACAAGTTGTTGAGACAAGGAAACCATTTATTTGGAAAGTCAGAAAATAAAGGGCATCTTAGGAAACTCGAGTGTACTGAAAGACTTTATAGGGAGAGAAAGAAGGAGTAAGGGTGTGATGGGAAAGACAGATTTGGTTTCTGGAGGCTTCTAGAAACTGTTCCTGCAGCCTTTGTCTTAGTTACTCTTATCTGGGTATCTTTAGCCTTGAAGGAGAGAAAAGAAATTAGGTAAATCAACCTTGTATTATGGTTGCAGACAAAACACTCCTTAAATGTTTAATAGATAATAATTTCATAGCTTAAACTTGAGCAGAAATCTGAACTGAAGGTTACGGTAGCAAAGGAAACATACAATATGGAGGCAGAGATGTCAAGCATTTTCATCTTGTTTTAGGTGCTTATCAGACATTTACAGATTTAAGTAAAAAGTCAATGTTAGGAGGGATTGCTCAGTGGTTAAGGGCACCAGCTGCTCCTGCAGAGGACCTACATTTGGTTCCTAGCACCCACAACCACCTCAGTTGCTATCATCAGAATCCCAACGTCAGAGGTGTCTACAGCAGAGTTATCTCTTAGCAGAGAGACTAATAGAGTATCACTCAGCTACATGACCTCCAAAATTAGTGATTTTTAACGTCAGCTTTATTTTTAAAGCAAATGAAGCCAGAGAGTTCATTTATATTTTCCCCTAAATACAAGGTAGAACTTCCTTGTAGTGCTACTAAAGCCAGAAAGGCTGTTAGAAGACCCCTTTATTCATCACCAATTTAAAGTTGAAACAGTTGGCTGTGGGCATTCCCTCAGAGAGCCAGCCTCTCTCTAGCACTTTTTCTGGTTGGGTTCTTCCCCAACAGACCTGTGTAGGGCCTCTGGGCCTCAAGAAACTTCTAGATCTGCTTCCATTTCCCTTCCTCACTCTTCTCTTTTACTTTTCCAAATATGGGAAGTACCCTAAGACATTGTGTCTTTCCCTAGTTGGCTGGGAGGACACTGCAGTAGGTCTAGTGATTCCAGAAAGGAAGTCCTTGTCTCTGCTTGTGACGAGCAGATGTTAGATCCTGTGTGAACACATACACACATTTATAGGCGGGAGTGCAGATACATAGGCAGAGGTGGCCGAGGCTGGAACTGACTTGATTGCTCATCATCTTCCTGTTCTCAACTTTCAGGTGGAGATGGAGGCTTCCTCCTTGTGCGTCTGAGTATGGCCTCCCCAGAGGACCTCACTGAGACCAGAGTAGTGGAGAGGCTGATGCAGCAGGTGAGTGGGCTCTTCCCCAGCCAGGGGTGGGGGTGGGTATAAAGTGAGAGGCTCTCAAGGACTGCTGGGAGCATCTGCAGTTGCAGAAGAGCAACCACTACACTAAAGGGATCTAGTTTCTTCTAGAGCGTTAGGAGCTGAACTACCGATCTTGACTGGCTTCTTTGAATTCTTCTGTCCCTTTTTGGTAATGCAAATAAATTCCCTCACCCCGCAACTCCAATTTTTTCCAGGTCCTAAAAGTGCAGGCTTCTGGCCTTTGTGGAGAAGGCCAATGATACTGGTGGGAAAATAAACAAGGTTCTTGGTTCAAGAGGTAGGAACTAAGTTATAGCTGCTCAAACACAATCACGATCGCCCCAACTCTGGTCCTTTCGTTCTTCATAGTTTTCTCCATATGTATAGAAGGCTGGCTAACCCAGCTTAAAACTCACAGAGCACTTCCTTATCCCCAGGTCTGCATGTCATTCATAGAAGGACTGGTCTTATTGGCCTGCAACAGTTATCACAACTGACAGTGCAATAAATAGCACAAAGCAGGAAAAGGACATGAAACAGGGCGCTAGGTAGGAAAACCCTATAGAGATATGTTCTATATGGGAGCAAGATTATGATTTATTTGTTTACCAGTTGGGGGGAAATTCTCTTAAGCCAAGGCCATTGGATAGCGTCCCCAATGGTGAAGTTCTGGAGTCAGGGCTGTTGGGTGGGGATGGTGTGAATCATTGGAAGGTTAGACTGGGTCAGTTCAGTGTAGATGTCATTGGCCTAGTTCAGTGTAGGTTTCACATAGTAGAAGATGGAGCAGGAAGAGGTGAGGCATGTCCAAGCTCTGCCCAGAGTGTGAACAGTGAGAATAGACTTAGTGTACCACCTGAAGTAGATTGCCCCTTCCACAGTGCCCCACCAACACCTCAGACGTGCGGTTAGCACCTATCATAGTCAGCCTATCAGTTCAGGCTCGATGCTGTCTCTTGGAGAGGTAGATCCAGAAGAGGAGGTGCCTGAGGGTCTTATGCCAGATGTGGAGTCCTACAGTCAGGATGACCGGGTGAAGTAACTGTTATCCCATGCCAGTAGAATCCCTTGTTGGAGGCAAGAGAACCCCACCATCTGTCTTAGCAAATAGGAGGAACTTGTTGGGGACTCTCAGGAATCAAAGGAGCAACAGAGAAGCAGGTTAGAAAAACAAACACAAGACACACGCTACCCAGGAACCAGTCCCCCTTGCTGCCCATTACCAGTGGACCTCAAGCTGCCTGCATGCACTGCCACAAGTGGGCTCACACTGGCATTTGTCTCTGGGTTGCTTATTACAGTCAACGTCTTGAGCAGGAGCACCCAGTCAGCTAAGCTTAACTTTTGTGCCCAGAATGCCCCATGGTACATTAAGAGGGAGTATCTGGGTCCCTGAATTCTCTTAGTGCCAAGGATGCCCATTAGGATGACCCCATCCCTGTGAGGATTTCTCTCCATAAGACATTCAGGTTTGATATAGGACAGGAAGACAGATGACAAAAGCCTCTGTTATGGACATCAAAATAGCAAGCACGAACCCTTGTGGAGGAGGGAAGCCACAGTCAAGTGCAGACCTAACTCCTGAACTGAAAACTATTTTAGGGGTCAGAAAGAAACCTGAGAGATCTGGAGCAGTTCAGGCAACTGAGGTGCAGGAGCCAAGTCATGTGGGGTTCCTGTTGATTTGTTATTATTAATTCGTTTCGCTCTTGTTTTATGAAATATGCTAAGTGTTGTTGATTCTTACTGGGGCCTGGTCAATGATGTGAGGCTCAGGAGATAAATCTGTGTGTGAGTTCTAGTTAACTGTGTTAACTCAGGTAGGTCTGTTGTTTATAGAATTAGGATAATAGCCCTGCTTTGTAAGGCTGCTGTGAAGTTTAAACAGCGTGGCATGGCCCTCATTACCTCAGGGGTGAGGGCTCAGGAAGCATTGTTGATGGTCTCCCACTGTTCCTTCCTGTCCTTGGCCTGTGTTGGGCTCGTGGCCACCCCACCTATCCTTCTGTTCTCCAGCTCCGCTGTGAATTGCACACCCACATGCCACTTGCCCAAGTCTCCCTACTGCGTGTCAGGAGGCGCTGAAGAATGTTAGCTGCAGCCAGACATGTCTCCTCTGCTGGAAGAATAGTGCTGCCTGTGGCCTGGGCCCCCACCAACAGATTGGAGCCACTGTACTGTGCTATGGACCCAGAATGTTCCCATGAAGGTCAACTGGCCTTACCCCAGACATGGTCACGGGCCCTGGCCCACTTGTGCCCTCATGTGGGTGTGGAGGACCTACCCTGTTTCCAGGGGAGTCCTTTGCTTCCCCTAACCCCTATGTTGTGTTTCAGTAAAGAGAGGCCTGACCACGTACCCATGTGCTTTCATTCTGTACTGAAATGACGCTCAGTGTGACCCAGAGATCGTCTATTTGAGCCTTATGCTTTTGACATTTTACTATGTAGGAATTTGGGGCATCCTCACTATTCTCTACCTTTTATGTTCCCCAGTTTGTGGTTTGGTTTGGCATTTACCAAGGCTAGCCCTGAAGCCTGTCGAACCTTGTGATCTGTATTAGTCAGCTTTCTGTCACTATATCAAAATATGAGACAGTTAACTTATAATGAGAAAAGACTAATTTTGCTCACAGTTGTGGAGGTTCCAGACCAAAATTAGAGTCAACTCATTGCTTTGAGCCTCAGGTGGGGGTACCAGGTGGCAACGACAGGAGCGAATGGCAGAGCAAACTGCTAGTCTTGTGCCCAAAAAGCAAAAGAAAGGAAGAGGAAGGAGCTGGGGTGCCACAATGCCCTTCCAGGGCATGTTTCAGTGACCTAAGGATTTCCCACTGCCCCACCTCCTCAGAGTTCTACCACTTCCTCACAGAGCCGCCCTGAAGACCAAGCTTTTAATGCAGGGACCCTCAGGAGACATATCCTAGCAATGTCCTTCTGAGCAGGGACCATATTTGTTCATTTTTGATCCCATGAATTGGGAGAACCTGGCCTGAGGGAGAATCACAAAGAATGTCAAACTGATTTAAATTTTAAGTTCCCGACTCAAGCAGATTTAAAAGAAAGTCTGTAATACACAATTAATTTCTCCCATGGCTCAGAACACACCTGCCTTTTTGTTTGTTTGTTTGTTTGTTTACTTGCTTGCTTGTTTTGTTTTTTGAGACAGGGTCTTACTATGCAGCCCTGACTGGCCTGGATCTTGTTATATAGACCAGGCTGGCCTCAAACTCACAGAGCTCTGTCTGCCTCTGTCTCCCAAGTGCTGGGATTCAAGGTGTGCATCATCATACCCAACACCTGCTATTATTTTTTAAATAAATATAGTTTATTGATTTTTTTTTCTATTATGAAAACATAACTTGCAGCTGGGTGTGGTGGCACACACATTTAGTCCCGGCACTTGGGAGGCAGAGGCAGGCGAATCTCTGTGAGATCGAGGCCAGCCTGGTCTACATAGTGAGTTCCAGGCCAGCTGGGGCTATACAACCTGTCTCAAACAACCCAAAACATAACTTGCTAATGATTTTAAATTTTTGAAAAAAATTCAAAACCAAGCAGCAAAAATAGAAGTAGGAGTAAAAGCAAAGGAACAAAATGAAATATCACTTTTTCCATACACCTGTTTACACACACATATATATATATATAT